TCCCTGAGATTGTCCACCATCCATAATTTTGGTCATTCTGTTAAAAAGCTCCGTTAAGTTGAGGGTATTTTTGTAAAATCAGCCCACACCCCCTCCCTCAACCCTTCATTCCCCAAAACCACATCCCCACCAAATCAACAATGAGCTCAGTCTCTGGCCTCAGAATCAAAACCCTTCCTTCAACACACAACACCAAGTCCTTCCAATGCTCGCACCCAACAATGTACTGAAAGAGCCTCCTTTCCTCAACCCTCTACTTCCACAACATATAAAGCTCCTCAATTTCCACCCTTATCCTAATGCTTCTGTCGTTGTTATTGACGTTTTTGGGTTCTTTGATTAAGTCTTCCATGAGCCATTTGAGCTCTCTACGCAAAAAGGTTGAGTCCGGCATTATTCTCTGCTGCTAATAATTTCCCAAAATAATGGCAGGTCCACCATTACTCTCTGGACCAATAACCCCATCACTAACAATCATCAAGCATACAACCCTCGAGCTCGAAACCAGCAAAAAGTAATTCGTCAATGGCAGATCCATCTTAGCACCCCATTTGAACTAGAAACCCAATTCCGAAAACTTCAATTTTCCTTTTTTCGAAATATTGAAACAGGATCTCAATCCCGTTTTGGTTTCCAAGTCCTTTGCTCTCATGTAATTTTCCATCTGTGACTCAAACCCTTGCGCCACGACTTCAAAAACCGGCTTCTCCATGAACGTGACGGTCGATTCGAAATCCATGATTGTCCCGCCATTGCTGTCGGCTTTGAGGACAAGAAACGTGTACGTAATCTTCACATTCTTCTTGCCCACGATGATTTTTTTGAGCATTATGTAGTAGTACTCGTGAAATGCAGAGTTTGGAGGACCTAGATTTTTCTGAAACGACATGTAGATCGAGCTCTGAGCTTTTGTTTCGTTTCTTCTAGTTGAAGAAATGAAGGGGGTTCATTGGCGCTACTGTTACAGGTGTACAGAATAAGGTCGCTGCTTTGTGGGGGTATCGTCGAATTTATGGGAGACTAAGCAGTAAGTGAATTTAGAGAGCTTCATTTGGGACGGCAGCGATTCTGGTCCGTGACCGAATCCTGTGATTCTGATGGACTGCTAGATGGAGAAGAACGATCAGCTAACAGGAAAATCAAGGACAATTTTCTCAGGAAAATTTAAGGACTCGAAAAGTAAAATCCCAGCTATTATAAGAGAAATGAGAGAAAAATGGTGAAAAAGAAAGTGGAAAATTTGATTTTACAAAAATACCCTTAACTTAACATAGATTTTTAACGGAATGACCAAAATTATGGATGATGGACAATCTCAGGAACCATTTCTGTTGATTTTAAATCCAAGGACCAAAAGTATGTGTTATACAAATCTCATGGACCATTTTAGCTAAAAAGCCTTTTATTAATATGTGTGTGTGTGTGTATATATAAGTGCTTGAAAATAAAGCCCACTCACTGATATGTAATCATGTCGTAGCTGTCTTTATTTGCTTAGCCTCTGTAATCCTCAGGTAAGTCTTTTCCATATGGAAAATCACTATACTAATCATTAAACTACCCAAAGTTCGTAAATACAAAGGAAAAGAATCGAAAATCCATTTGTTTGCTCAAATCGGCAGTTGAAAGTGTTAAAATAAGGCTCACGCACTGCCACACGCCAGCCCGATTTGACACGTGACGGCTGGAGCTGTCACGCATCGCCGCAACGTCATCGTCCCAACGTCATCGTCGTCCGCTGTCTGGCTCCCCAGATTCTAGGAAATTTGGCCGAAAAAATTCCAAAAATCGATGAACTCCAAAAACTCATCTAAAATTCACGAAATTCACAACCTAGCCTAATTTGAGGGCGTAGAATCCAAATATTACCTTAGTTTGGCCAAAAAGTGGTTAAAAATCTCGAAACGATTGGGAAACCTCCGCTCGAAGTTGGAAGTCTCGTACGCCCTTGGATTTGAGCATGAGTTTGCTCGAAACTGAGCCTAGGACTTTGGAAAGTTATCTGGTGGTCAAGATCTCGTCCAAAATCGACAAGATCAAGTCGGAAACTCGTCGGGTTTCTCTGCAGCTTTCACCAGAGTTCTACAGAGAACTTCTTCCTTTGCTACATGTGTCAAAAGCTCGCCAACTTCAACATCTAGAACACGAATCTTGCACTACTCAATGAGATTAAACGATCTGAGGTGGTTAGGAGTCTTACCTTCATCGGAAAAACGGCGGGGCTCGTCGGAAAGTTGAACTCAACTGGATTTAGGGCCCTCCGCTTTCTCTGGGAGATTGGAAGTTTGAAGGGTAAAGTTGTGTAGGGTTTAGAGAAAAGTGTTTGTCGGTGGATATTTCTCTACAAAAATAGGGTTACTACAAATAGGATAACACCTAACAAAATGACAATTTAGATATTTTCCTAAATAAGAAACAATGACTGGAATTCACATGCAGACTCCAAATTCTAGAGAATTTCAGTCAGACCTACGTGAAATAAAATTATATTTTTCCCTCGAACTTAAAACGAGCGGTACCTCTTCGTTACAAGTCCTATTCTTGTCCAGTTTGCCTTCACGTGCTCGTGGTAAAGAATACTACAAATATATGACAATAAAGGAGATAAAATATGAAATGACCTCAAAAGTACACATAAGACTCTACTTAGCCCAACATGGGTTTTTTTGTAAATCTACAGATTCATGGTAGAAATTACAACAAATTTGGGGACGGATCGTCACAACAATCAACACATCCAACAAGACAGATATGAGATCCACAAATTTAGTAAATTTTTGTGCTCGATGTTGTTGTTGCAAGACAATTTTCGTAGCATGGGAGGTTGAGCATGTCTTTTTCAAAATATCTTCTTTAGTTCACTCAACTTCACTATACTTGAGTAGTGAATGGATTCAACATACTTCAGAGTTAATTATAGCATTCACGGACTTGTAGTCCTAAAATCTTGGATTATCTAATTGTGCCTAGCATTAGGCAATGTGATCAACTTCTGGTGACCAAAACAATCAGCTAATGCTTGCTAGAGAGTTTAGAGATCTTCTTCCTACAGATATTTAGTCTGTAATGCGCTATGGATGTAGCGGCAGATCAAGATTATAGTGGTCACCTTCTTAGTTTCACTTGCTTCGTTCCTAGTTTCGATGGTCGTTCTTGTACCCTTTGCATTTAGGTGGAGCTCAACATCTTGTATCCGCTTCAGGTAATTCTTCCAGAAACCTCAAAAACGGTGAAATTAACGCATAATTTTCCCCACTTTGATATTATTACTGGCTTGTGCCAAGGCGTCTCTCTACGTACTAAACGATTGGCTAAGTAATTTCCAACAAGCGTCCAATTCGTACCTACATCAGTAGTCATTTTGTTAAAAAAAAATTGGATTGAAACTTTGAGAGAAAGATAGGAATTTGATTGAAAGTAGTTGAGAAAATATGAAATTGTGGTGTAAGGTAGATGATAATGAGAAGGTATTTATAGAAAAGTAAAAATAATTTTTTTAAAAATTTTTCAGATTCTTTTTTTTTTTTTGGATTTTTTACAATTTTTTTTTAAATTTTTATTGAACTAATTAATCTCTGCCATTGGATTTTAAAAAAATTTGAATTCTAGCACTCTAGATTGTGCCACGTGTCATAACGATAACTTTTCTTAATTTTAAAACTATTTTTTCTTTTATTTTTTATTTATAAAGCAGAATAATATCAACCGTTGATCTCAGATCCAACGGTTCATATTAAATAAGATTTTTTTATTTTTATTACCGTTGCAAATCGGACGGTCCAATTTAAAGAGCCGTTGAGATCGAATGGACCGTGGGAAGCCACGTGGCTTCCCAACGGTAACTTCTGCAGACTATGCCGCGGGCCCCTGGTTCTGAAATCCTATCCGACGACGCGCGCCTAAGTGCACTTGAGGGCCACGCGCCTGATAGAAAAAAATAAAAAAAGTGGCTAATGTCTGGACAACGTCAGCTTGGTGTCAGAATGCCTTCGGGCTCTTGGGTTGGCAATTGATGCTGGGCCTGTCGCTTAGGCCTGGCTTGTCCCTCGAGCTCGCATACGCTGGACCTCATCCCTCGGCCTATTCGGCCCTGTTCCACAGCCCGTCCCTCGAGCAGGAGCTCCCGCTGGAGCTGCTCTCACCGTTACAAGATGACGACAACGTGTCATGATTGCTGGCCTTCGCGCCCTAGGGGAGGAGCCTAGGGGAGGATCTAGACTATTGGTGAGGAGATAAGGGCGGCAGGACTGTAGGTTAAGGACAACGTCAAATGACGTGTTGTTCCAGATCTGGGCAAGGTTTTGGGTAACCTAACTCGCGACTTAGCGCAACTTGAGGCTGCAATTTCTGCAGCTTAAGGTTTTGGAATCTCACTAATCTTTTTCGATATACCCTCACACATATGCATCAACATAGACAATAATCATAATATTCATGGCATAAAATAAATTGAAATAAAATAGATTAGGGTTTAGAATTACTTGGAGGTTAATGAAGATAATGAAAAGCTTCAATGAGATATTTTTCAAGGATCCTCTCCTTCTCGTATAGAAATTTCGTGCTAATAACGTGTTGTGAAACAAATTATAAAAGTGAGTGAGAGCGAGGGACAACAAAGAGAGAAGGGCTCATGGGTGTGTGAGAATTGTTATTTCACCCCTTGCCTTGAACCTTATTTATATTAATCATGATGGACTTTCTTGCCTTACAAGTAATACAAAGTCTATGGATTTGATTTCCAAATCCTATTGAGATTAATATTTAAGTTTACACAACCACATTCCCAAATAAACACAAATCACAACACACCAAAGGTTTTCCACAACATACACCCATTTTGAGCCGCCTAATTATGTATACAACTCTGACCATAAAAATTTGTATTGAAACTAGTAATCCAAGTAAGCTGAAAATAACGAGTAAAAATATGAAAACTACACTTAGAAAATACCACTAGACCGTACTGTTAGTGAAAAGATTGGATCAAGAATTTGACTCACTTCAGTAGTAACCAACGCCTCCCCATAAATAACTGAAACTTAAAAACAAGGTCGTTATAAGTGGTCACAAATTTTTTGAAAATGCCCTCTCCAGCGAGTACTGAAATCAAAACCATCAGCAAAGGGAAATTCTCAAGAGTTGTATTTAAAAGGAGGATTGAATACGGTATTCTGAAGGCACAGAAAACAGACCTCATCAGATCACGTGTAATGCGATTGTCCCGTTCCAACTTCCTCCGAAAGTCCTATAATCTGCTTTAAGTTATTGCATTGTTGAGCACAATTCACATGGATGGCTCAGGTAAAACTGTACATGGACTCAATCAAATTCCCTACTGACCATTTGCTGCATACAAGAAATTTACCCATACCAGTCGAATGAATGCCAGTGACTAAAACATCCCAAAGCTATAGAAACTAACTGCATACCTAAAACCCGGGCAAAGCACAAGGTTGTGTAAACCAAAACTAAAATCAAAACAATGACCGACCAATTCATCCTGTAGTATTGTCCACGACATTGCTTGATTCTATGTTTTACCAAAACCAAAAAGTGCGTAAGTTGCAGCAATCCTTATCTGTATCCTTGCTGTTGTTTGCCTTCAATCTCCTTCACACTCTCTACTACGTGTTGGATCTTTTTTGATAGGCTCTCATTGTGTTCTTCAATGTGCTCAAATATTAGGTCGAGATGTCTTTTATATGTTGCAGCACGTTTTTTCTCTATGGCCAACTGCTGAGATAATTCCCGAATCTTGTCATGCTCATTCTGAAGGAGAAAACAAAAGGCAAATTAAAATACATAACAAGCCATATTATAATGATTCTTAAAAGTTCAAGTTGATAGCTGGATTTGAGCACGTGTCACCAGTACAAGGAATTAAATCATGGCACTAAGAATACTATCATCTGCATCTTCCAAAAAGAATATCCAGCATTCAAGAATTCAAAGCCATTTTATAATTTTCACAAAAATAACACCTCCACTTTCTCATCATGATTTTCAGCATCGGTCCATTTCAATGTAAAGATTTGGCGACAAAGAAGTCAAATGTGTTGGTGAGGAGAAATAACACAACTCCCACGCGTTTTGTATTAAAAGGCATACTGATATATTCCATATTTTGGATGCATAAATCCATCCAACTAGGAAATGTTTCAATTTCAACTGCATACTTAATAGACTAGAACCTTCTTTTAATGATCTTAGCTGGAAACCATACTCACAAATAGAAACTGCATGATGTTCACCAGAAAACAAAAACTAATAGAAACTGCATGGTGTTCACCAAAGCAGGAATGGAGAAAGCAATTTGACGAAAAGTGAAAACCAAAAGACAACCTATACACAAGCATAGCCGACAGAAACAACGATATAACATAACTAAACATCCTAGAAAGCAAGTGCAAATCATCTCAAGTACTCATTGTGGAAATGGACAACTATGAGCTAAGTACTCACGGCATTTACATATGCAAGGATCTAATGGCATGTTGGAGAAACAAAATCACCATCTTGGGCCTTTGCACACTACCTGACTAAGTGAAGAGATGAAGAGTATTTTTCGTAGGCTGGCCTTATAGTTTCTTTCTTTTTTCGTTCTTTCATAAGAAATCAGATTTTATTACTAGACAAATTACAACACAGGAGACAACTGGACAAGGTGACAGACTAGTAGTCTGTTATACTTCAGATATAAAACAAGCCATTAAAAAATAGAGTTTAATACTTCAAATATAAAACAAGATCCTATCAGTAGCAAGGACCCAGAACAACTGTTTGTCTTCTAAGAGTTTGAGGGCATGCGTTGTATAACAAACTCATCCAAAAATATTAAGAACTAAAGAACTACATTAAAAAAATTCTACCACCATGTCTGATTTTAGACGACTGTAGTGTAGATAGACACTCGCTGCAGCATGTCAAAAGAATCCTGAATAGAAACAGAATTACACTGTCTCCGGCGCAACATTAAAATACCATTGTGAATAAACATTTTGTCAAAAAAAGAAGGGAGATTAATCCGGTTCCGGATGAACATTAAACAAAAAAGCCAGAGTTGACAAGATTTGATTCTGATCTATTCCAAAAAATTTATAAACCCTGCCTTTGCTTTACACATCTCCCAATCATATTACTTCTGGCCACCTTCTAGTCATTGTAGCCTCCATATTTGTAAAATTTAATCATTATTTATAGCTTCATTACCTAGCACCCGATAGCTTACAGTACAGATGGCAGCATATCTACTAAGTGAATATGGGTTGCTAATACTGCCAACATTTAGATGCAAAAAATTGTTTGTTTAGACCTATATTTAGAGAGATTATTATTATGAGAAAAGCCGTTGTCAACCTTGATAGATAATACCTCCTATGTCCCTGTTTTACCAACATTAACCCTTATTAAAAGAATTGAAAAAAAACATAATCAGGGTAAACAAGCAATTAAAAATTTATTTATTTTTTTAAAAGGAGCAATTAAATTTTATTTTAAGAAAATAAAAATTCTCCATAAAGTTCTCACTACTCTCTCTTCCTGTGCAATAACTATCACCACTCTCTCTTTATCTCTTTCTCCTCCTCAACAATTGCATTTGTCACATGCATAACATGTTTGAGGATGTCTAGTATGGTTTAAGTTCTGAATTTTTTTTTTTATTTTTTTATCTTAAGTTGCTAAAATGAACATGACCGGATACCGAATATGATTACACTATTTACTCCACTTCAAAGCCCAAACATAGTGATAGACATCTACAGTAAAATTATTGATTATACTTACGTTCTTTAGTGGTCAATAATTGATAAGTAACTCCAATGGTAATAGAAAAGTAGATATTCATGACTACAGACTGTAATATACCACGCATTATTTGTAAAAGACCTATGTGCAACTACTGGAAAAAAAAAAAAAAAAAACCTAAGCCTATTGTACAAACTTCAAATTATAAAAACAAACCTTTCATATTTAGATGAAGTGAATTGACCCTTTCATTTAAATCTCAAGAGATCACCAAAAGTCCAAGCCTTATGCCATAAATGTCAAAAGAAAAATCAAAATTCTCTTTCAAACAGATAAGGGGTTTCTTCTCCACTGCGGGTCTTGCTGACGAGGGAAAGTTCCCAATATAAGGATCCAGGTCAGGGACTCAGGGGAAAGAAACTATAAAGAATAAAAGCACTCATACACAATGGTGTTCTTTAACTTCTTTTATACATGAATACTCACACTTCATATGGCTCTCCTGGATCATATCGATTATCATAAAGTTCATGAAAAAATTGTCTTAGATACTAATGATCGGAATTGACCTTTTCTACATATTAACAGACTTCAGAACTTTGCAAGGGATAAGAAAATTTAGACAACGTACAAAAGGCAAACAATAATGGTCCAAAAAGAAGAAAAAGTACTAACCGGATATTGATCATAAATGCAATCCCTTCGACCTTTTCCAGGTGTCATAGGATGAGTGTGCTCCTTTACAAATTTTGTGACAACCCAGTTCCCAGAACTTACTTTCCTCACCAAAATCATTGCTCTGCAACCAACCCTGGTCTCAGCTCTTTGCCTTACAACTTTTTCACGTTTGTCAGGCATTCTATAACCCTCTTTGTTACAAACAAGTGCACGACCAATGGCAGATCCATCACGCCTTGATCGAGAGAGTTTGCTTACACGAATTATGAATCCCACACGTGTGGCATATGCATTATAAAATGCATGAGCAGCTGCTTCTGTTTCAAACTCTAGACCCACATATGGCTCATCTGCTGGCACTACCGATACTACAGGAACTGCTTCTGGAATTATATCCCCTTGAGGAGAATCTAGATTTATTTTATCATCCAGACCCAGTTGGAATGCCCCTTCAACAGAACTACCGCCTGTTTCATTTTCATCACCAGCTCTACTAAGTTCCATCTCAGCAGAACTTCCCACCACCTCGCCATCAACATCACCATCAAGTGCAAATTCCACTGCAAAAGGAAGAAGATTTTTTATAAGTTGCCCCACACTCAAATGATGGTCAGCATAAAACGACGGTCAGCAGACACATTCGAAAAGACTTATTGATTGCAAGATATAACAAGAAAATCTGAAGAAAGTTCAGAATCTTCTGTTCATATAACAACAAAACTTCAGAAAACAACACGATGACTGTATGAGACTTGGGCAGATTAAATTTGGGGACCAATCAGACTGCAATTTCAAATTTGTGGAAGGTTCATTCTTACCATGAGCGATTCCGCAAAGTACAAACTAAAGGTAGAGATCTGGTTTGAGCGAACCCAACAGTGGGTATAAGGACAAGGAAAAAAACTCCAAAAATTAAGAGCTCCTAATTACCGATACTATTAAGCTAAATTTATCCACTCTGTCGATATTAGGTTCCCATATATCGAAAATTCATCTGAGATAAACCCCAATTGTTTGGTTGATTTCTGAAAGAACGAAAAAAGAGAAAAATAAAGTAATCTCTTTTAAATGCCAATTAGGCTACCTAAAAGCAACATGAAATCAACTGAACCAATTAACAACCAAACAAAACAAGATAAATTTAATCAAACGGTCCAAGCCATTGATTAAGAGATATGAAAATTAATCTTCTTCTCCTCTCTTCCCACAATCCCTCACTTATCAAATAAAGTCAGTGCTCTAAATTTCCTAAATACCCATGTGTTTACTCTCACGTACAAATATCCATATAATAATTAATTCAGAAGGAAAAACAATCCAGAATCTAAAATCTTTTTTCACTACCATTCATAGTCACATTTTCTCAGCAACCAAACAGAAAACTAAACAAAATTTTTTAAACAAAAACCCTAAACAATCTCGTAAAAAAGGAAAATAATTCACAATTCTTAAGATCAAATTAAATTACAAAAAAAAGAAAGAAGAAGAGACTTACTGTAAATTCGCGAACACCCTTTTGTTAGTCGATCGGGAAGGACATGGAAACGCTTTGGTTTCGAGTCTCGACGCCAGAGAGAGAGAGAAGGAAGGAGAGAGGGTTCAGGTTGTAAGCATGGGGCTCAATTTGATATGATGTGTCAAAAGCGGATTGGAAAGAGAAAGATATAAAAAGTCAACATTTAGCGTTAAACTGCTCTAGTATTGACACGTGGTTTGTTGGGTGGACTTTGGCCTGCAGAATCGCAGCCGTATCGTAAACCGCCCGGTCCCAAGAGGTTTGAACCCGGTTCAGTTTGGATCGTACTGTGCTCTCTCTTACTGGAAATTTGTCAGTAAAATGGCAAGAGCTGTGGTTTCTGTCGCTGTTTGCAGAGCTGCTTTGGTTCTCAAATCGTCGCCTTCCCAACCTATCTTTCTAAGGTAGTCTCTCTCTCTCTTTCTTTCTGCTACGCATATATAGTTGTTTGGTTGTTGCTGCTATCCTTAGAACCAGTTTTCTCTGCGTCCAAACACAACCCATTAAACCTCTTAATTGAATTATGAGAAAAATTTAATGGGTTCTAACAAATGTTAATTTTATCCAGCCAAACAGTCAATCTCACTGAACTCTTAAATTCTTGAAGATAATGTTTTTGGATTGTGGAAAAAATTCATATGTTTTCACCACTTTCCTGCCACATTTTCTATCTTCCAGGTCAGGTTTTCCAACCCAAGAACCAATTTTCATTGCAACAAAACACTTGCCTCTCCCAAACCCATCATGGGTTCTCCGAAATTTGAGCCACGGGTGGGTGAATTTGGTGATATCACATGGGAAACCCAAGTCGAGATGCACGAAATCGATCCACCAAAAAAGAAGTGGCCGACCAAGAAGAGGTTGAAGCAGCATAGAGTGAGAGAGAAGCAGGAGAGAAGAGCCGCCAATAGGAAGGACCCACGTCGGCTCGGAGTTTGGAAGAAGAAAAGGCTGAAGTTTGCAAATGCTGAGGAGAGAATCAAATACAAGCTTGAAAAGGTGAGATGAATTGAACTCTTCTAGTTGTGATGTATTTCCTATGGATGTAACTGCTTCCTTCGTTTTATGATCATGATGCAAACAGACATGGTACGGATAATGACTATGCTTTTGTGCTTAGACTACGAATATTATGTTAAGGGCTTGCAAACATAAGTGCAGTTCCGCTTCGCCTCTGACCGAGCAAGTATAAATCATATTTGTTCAATGGGAAGTTTATAAAAGATGTTATGAATTGGAGTGATGGTACTTGTTTTGGCTAAAGAGTGTATTCGGGTTCCTGTCAACCGCCTGCGCACAATTATTTACAGGAAAGAGTTTCTGGATGATTTACCACCCATGAGACATATTCATTGTGCCATTGATTTAGTCCCTATATCATATCTTAATTTCCTAATCTTCAACATTATACAATGAACCCCAAGGGGCATTGCAAGCTGAATAGGCAAGTAGAAGGTAGTTTATTCTATTGATTTAGTCCTTGTGCAGTTTCTGAAAGTTTGGAGGACTTGCAGAATGCGGTGTTAATTAAAATAGATAACAGTCAACTGTAGGTTTCCAATTCGGCCATTCATATGCTTGAGTACAGATATGGTTCTAGTTTGAAATTTATGCTTTGAAAGTATGGAGGACTTGCAGATATAGCTCTTTATGCGCTTGTTGCATGTCTGGATTTATATTAGTCTAAACTAAAGACCTGAGAGTGAGAGGGTTAGGTAAAGTATATAATTTTTTCTTTCCAGTAGAAGTGTAATGCATATTGCGGCGTTTCTTGATTCTTAGAGTTAAGGAAACTTTATATCAACCTTAAACAATGCTCTTTCTCTTCCTTGAAGACTAAGTGCTTTTCTTAAGAAATGTTCTCTGCACAAGGACTTGCAACAAACCCTTAGTAAAGTCAAAGCTATAACAAGTGTATTTTTCAGGTTCCTAAAAGAATTTATAAAAAATGGAAAAGACAAAGCGTATCGATTGACTATTGCATGCCTTAGTTTATTATATTGAAATATATGCTCTCACATATATGCCTTAGTTTTATTTTCTTTTATCTACCTAGTCTTTAATTTTTGTGACTTTTTTTTTTCTTTCTGTTCAGGCTAGAATAAAGGAAGCTTTGCTGATCGAAAGACTTAAGAGGTATGAAATTCCAAACGTCCAGGGTCCTGATGTACAACCAGATGACCTGACAGGCGAGGAGCGTTTTTATATGAAGAAAATGGCTCAAAAGAAGTCTAATTATGCACCAATTGGAAAATGAGAAATTTTTGGAGGTGTTAATTCTTAACATGCATATGCATTGGAAAAAACATGAAACCATCAAGGTGATTTGCAAGCCATGCAAACCTGGCCAAGTACATGAATATGCCCAGGAAATCGCTAAACTGAGTGGTGGGAATCCAATTCAAATAGTTGGAGATGACACCATAGTATTCTATCGAGGAAAGAACTATGTCATTCCAAAAGTTGTGTCACCCATAAATACTTTGTCCAAGAAAAAGGTGATTTTTCAAGCTTCGTCTATTCAGTTTCTTTTGTTTCTTTTGTATAACTGTTTATAATTTTAAACTCAAATTTATTGCATTTTCCATATTAGTTTGAAATATGAGGTGTGATCCATTGTTACTAGGTAATGCAGTTTCACATCTTCCAGTTCTGCAATTGTTTTGTTGTCATACAAGTACCTGAAAAAGAGTATCTAATCCATATAGTAAACAGACAGTTACCTATTGCAGTCACTTCCACATCAATTTCTCTCTTACTTTCTTTTTTGTCTGCTAATTTGGATTTTTTTTTTTTTTTTACCTTTCATTGGAATATTCAATATTGCAGCACGTAAAACTTGTCAAGTATCAATTAACTTAATTGTGGTCATTTCAGTATATCCTTCATTAATTTTAGTTATTAAAGACTGTCGGAAATGAACCATATCTTGAGGCCAGCTAGAGGTCTGTCGACTCACGGCCTGCAGGTATGTCTTGCCTGGCCTGTTGATTGGACCCATGTCTGGGCCTGTTGATTACCTTGTCCAGATCAAGTTTCTGATCTAGCTTGAACCAAGATTGCAGAAACTTTACAGTCCAACCATGAAACTTTTCACCGGAAAACATGATTTAAGGTACTTCAACAAAAAGTTCTCTTTGAAAATGATAATTAGTTTGTTCAGCAGCTTTGACAAGCAGGTACTGGAAAAGTTTAAGTACGAGCAATCCCTCAAGACAGTGCGGCACTTCATTGCTGTTGCAGAGAAGGAACTGGAGCTCTATTACCGACATTTTGCAGTTTATGGTGACCCAAATGACAGAAATCCCATTTCAATCTTGGATAGTCGAACAAACGAGACCAGGGAATCAGGGAAACTTAAAATACTTGAAAGGCAAAATGTAGATTCCACTAGTGATTTCTTTTCTGCGAGTCTTTCAGAGATAGAAGCAGATTCCTCAAACTCAGAACTATCAGAAAGTGAGGATTCTGAAGATGACAACTTGTCAATAAATGAATCAGATTCTAAAGATGACAGCATATTTGATTCCGAAAACGAAACAGGATCTTCGAAGAGGAAAAAGAGCACGTCAGCGTTGGATATTAGGTATGGGAGAATAGACCGTAGATGAGAAAATTTGATCTGAACCTTAATTCCAGTTTACATTTTGTTTTCCTTTCCCCTCACCATTGGAGCAGTAAGGTAAGGTCCCTGGTACTCTGACTCATTGTGCATTTTGGTTAGGGAGATGTGGATTATTTATTTGCACTTTTGTGTATAATGGATTCCTCTTTGGTGTGTATATATATTTTGAAAGATAGGGAGGCATACTTGAAAGATTTTTCATATTTTTTGGTCAAAGTGTTTGTGAAAAATAAATGTAATTATTTAAGCATCAGAGATATTTTCAATTAAAGCAATTTGTTATTCTTAGTGATGTCCTCTGTCTTACTATTATTTTCAGCAGGAATAAATGAGTGCATGCAGAATGTTTTTCTTTTTGAGCGACATTAACAGCTCCCTTGTGAAACGATAAAGAAATGGGCTCCGCTCCGGCACGGTATTTCAGTTCTTCTGCAGCAGAGCCAGGAGCCCTTCTTTCCTCAATGATTTCTTTTTAGAACAACAACAACAGCTCCTTTTGATGAAGGTTGATGAAGAAAATTAATTGCAGAAAGAAAATTTAGTTTTCCATCCATGAAGAAGAAGAAGAAGAAGAAGAAGAGAGTTAAAAAGGTTGATGAAGGTTGATGAAGAGAGAGAATATCATTTTATATTAAATTTTATTTTTTTATTATTTGAAGGAGAATTGATGTAGGAAGAAGAGCTTTAATGAAAAGAATTTAGATCATGAGTATTTTAACCAAAAACCACTCTTACAATTACAAAGGCATGTATATGATACTGGAAAATATCAAAAATTATTATTATTTTTTTTAATTTTTTGCAAAATAAAAATTAATACACATTTGTCACATCCCGGCCCGGGGGGGGACCATTTCCCGGGCCCGCTCCACCACCGTAGCACAATATTGTCCGCTTTGGGCTTACCATTCCCTCACGGTTTTGTTTTTGGGAACTCACGAGTAACTTTCCCGTGGGTCACCCATCATGGGATTGCTCTAGCTCCCTTCTCGCTTAACTTCGGAGTTCCTACGAAACCCGAAGCCAATGAGCTCCCAAAAGGCCTCGTGCTAGGTAGGGATGAGAATATACATTTAAGGATCACTCCCCTGGGCGATGTCACAATCCACCCCCCTTAGGGGTCCGACGTCCTCGTCGGCACATTTCTGGCCAGGGATTGGCTTTGATACCAAATTGTCACATCCCGGCCCGGGGGGGACCACTTCCCGGGCCCGCTCCACCACCGTAGCACGATATTGTCCGCTTTGGGCTTACCATTCCCTCACGGTTTTGTTTTTGGGAACTCACGAGCAACTTCCTAGTGGGTCACCCATCATGGGATTGCTCTAGCCCCCTTCTCGCTTAACTTCGGAGTTTCTACGAAACCCGAAGCCAATGAGCTCCCAAAAGGCCTCATGCTAGGTAGGGATGAGAATATACATTTAAGGATCACTCCCCTGGACGATGTCACACATTGATAAAATAAAATAATAATTACAAAGTACATAGAATTTACAGATTCTTAAAAATTTATTTTACAGTAAATTTTCAGGTAAAGTTAAGAATAAGCATAAATGTATACCTTACACCAGAATAGAGTACTTTGATACTTTGATTCTTGAAGGGGTCAAATGACAAATAGCAAGTAGGTTGTGTTAGCTAAATTAAGTAACTGTTTTTTCAACTGATGAACTTACTACTCCCTAGCTTTGATTTGCAAATTTTCTTCA